AAAAAACAACAACAACAACAATACAATTGTGTAGCAAAAGAAAGACAGAGACAACAGGCAGTGTGCAAAAAAACAACAACAGGCAATGTGCAAAAAAACAACAACAGGCAATGTGCAAAAAAACAAACACAGGCATTGTGCAAAACAACAAAAAGGTAACAGGTTATGTGCAAAAATATGCATCAACAGAATGAAATAAAGGGATAGAAATTATGGGGAGTGAGCTTTTGACATGTATGGTAGAGGTAGATTTTCGATGTGTGTTTGGGTTTTTGGTGAGAAAGAAAGAAAGGAAGAAGGCACTGTGAGGTTCAGATCATAGGTGAGAGTGAGAGTGAGAGAGGCTGGGAGTTTAACAGTTTGATAGTGCGGGGGTAAAAACGGTGTGCTTCTGCTTCAAACCAGAAAGTACTGAAAGTACATCTGACTGTGCGGTAAGGGAACGCAGAAGCGATTTACTTTGAAGACCTCTTTTCATCCTGAACACAGAAGATTACTAGGGGTCTTGATACAATTATTCTAAATCCTAGAAAAAGCACAAAAGGTTGGTCCAGCAAACATCATAGGAAAGAGCTGTGAAATGTGAGCCTATTAAAAAGTAGATTGAAGCGCATTTAAAACCGAGGCACTTCTGTGGAACAAGCTGCCCAGCTATGTTGTTGAAGCCGATACCCCAGCTTCTTCAAGAAAACAGCCGGACAAGAACTTTTGATCCATCAAGAGGGCCTAATGATCAGCACTCAATGACAAGATACCCTAAGATCCAATTCAAAGCTGCTATGTATCTGGGATTTTAAAAAAATGACCGTTTACATATATCAATTGCAAACAGAGAAATTAAAGAAACACCATTGGCTATTTAGAGGATGTGCGGATCTTACCAGTTCCACTGCCAAAGTGATGCAAGGACAGTGCTTTTTTGTCAGTTTGATCTTGAGGGATTTGGCATTATTAGCCGTTTTCAGAGCCCTCGAGAGATTCTCAGGAGCAAGCTTTAGATAAATCTCGTTGGCATCTGGCGACACACCCTCCAACTGAAACTCATCGAAAAAGTTGCCCTGGTGACACATTGAAACGTATCAGTATTTTTCAGTAATGAAGAACTACATCAACTAGAGCACATTGCTTGAAAAACTTGTGTACGAAATGACTTCGTTTTTTCTTTACCGTGACATTAGTTAACATACTCTATATTGTCTAGATTATAGTAGGAAGAAATAAAAAGGCATTACGAATATGAAAATAGATAGTTATAAGTGTAGAAATTAAATCTACAGGGATGATGTTAAAATTGTACAATGCCGTACAAAGATCTCATATGAAATATTGTTTACACTGTTACTGTTTTGGTTAACACATTACAAAATAAGATGTTGCTGTGCATGAATCAGTCCAGAAAAGAGCACCCAGGCACATTCCTGGACTTAAAGGAAAGTTCTTCGTTGACAGACATAAAGAACAGAATCTTGTCTCGAACAGACAATCCTGAAAGAAGACCCAGTTCAATTTTTCAAACATCCTCAAGGCCACGGACAAAGTCAACTCAGTGAAGATCTTCAGAAGGAACAGCGAAACAAAACCCAGAGGACAAAACTGATGACATAGGACAGCTTACCTGAGACAGCTCACACCACATGCTGACTCCCCCATTGGCAACTTTATCACACAGTATGAAATACAGGTTGCTGGTAGTGAGCCGCAGTGTGCAGGTCTTTGTCAATTTCGAGATGGTACTCACCACACCTACCCCGGTGGAGAAAAAAAGCTGAACAAACAGCAATAGACTAATATTTACTTAGCTGAGCAGTTATGTTTCTCTTTACTACATATTGTCCTAGAATATTGCATCACATTAGAATGTTGTTAAAAATGTTTAATTAAATTGTTCACAGTAAAAGCTGTACTTGCTGTCCAGGGGAAAAATAAAAAAGTAATGTTTCAGAATTACGATCCCCTGGTAATTATTCAAGGGGTTATTACTAAGAAACTGCAGTATTTCAGATGAACCATAACGTAGATTAGTATCTACCAATAATAAGTCAACCAAAGGACATTTAACCATGCAAGTTTTAAAAGCTGTTTTTTCTATAACAGAAATAATAATGATAAACAATACATTGCTAATAACATGTATACTGATAATACATCTACGGCAATCTACATGCTAAAATATTAGGTATCTACGGGTGACTCATAGGGATATACACCAAGATACCTACTGTATGTACAGTATATAAGAAATAGTTTTGTGAACTACATAGCTGACTGCTGTCTAACATTTACAATCGTACTCACGTGTAAAATGCTGGAGACAGACCACATCAACAATTTTTGACCGAAATTTCATGTTTGAAAGCTGATTTATCAGAATGTTAGCAGACAAAAGACATATATACAAGCGTATATCTGCTCCTTCCCACAAAATTACTGCATAGGAGGACAATTCAAACTGAGGCGCCACTGGTCCTACCTTGATTATCATCCCAACAGCTCCACAGCCGGACAAACAGGCAAAATCAGTTCCGGGCGCAACTATATCCGAGAACCAGTTTGTAAATACATATTTATCCATGATCTAAACTGTGAAAAGATATTTTTATATTTTAATCTATTTGAAATATGCCACCGTAACAAATACTGAGTAAAGTCTAATTATCATCCTCTAATTATCAACTTTGAGAAGCCACCTTTAAAGGCGC